CAGGAGTTGGAGGTTGTTGTGAGCTGTGATGCCCAGTGCACTCTACCCAGGGGGATAGTTTGAGGTTCTGTCTCAAAAAAAAAAAAAAAAAAAGCCCACATACACCTAAGAGTTATGTTTCTTACCCATCTGGGACCAGTGGTACTCTGGTAAACTGGGCCCCTACAAGCTCTACAAAGCATGACCTGGAGGGCAGGTACATGGTGACTAGCAACTGGTCAAAGTAGCCCTATGGCATTTTTAAGATATCAGCGAGACTACAAAACTACTCCCTAAACATACAGAGAATATGATTCTGTGTTAGCAATGGCCAGGTACAAGTAAAAGGAAAGGAAAAATAAAGTGGGAAGGGATTTGGAGTAGTGGTAGAGGCAGAAATGGAGGCAGAAAAACGCATATAGGAACTCAGAGTGATTTCCCCCCCAGACATAGACAAAGAGACCTGCATGTTCATGGCAACATAGAGGGGATTAGCTTCCATTTTTTTGTCCTTTACCTTTACTCTTAAGATACTTCGGTCTAAATTCTGCCTCTAGGTATACATGTCCTATATGCCTAACCTAAACCCTTTTCTCACTCTATTTTCTTTACCCCTTCCTTTTTGCCTCAGTTCTGCGCATGCTTATTTACACACACACATACACACACACACAGTTACACGTGCACACACATATGTGCATACATTGACATTTTCATTTGTATTTTCCCCTGCTGTGAAGCCTTCATTCAACATTGTTGTCACAAGAATTTAAAGCTTTTTCTTTTTCTGGTGAACATCTCTAGTCCTTAATTTCTGTTTAGCTACCTAAAATCATGTTGTGGTTTTTCACTAGCTATAGTTTTCAAGTGTCTGTGTTCTGAGTTTCAGACCACATTGTGAACTTTTTCTGACTAGTGTCTTATTTCACTTATTACATAACTGCTGTACAATTTTTATAGTAATACTCTGACCCTATGAGAAACCTCATCATAATTGATGAGACCTATATAAAAATATAGTAACAGGTAGATATTTCCGGCATACTTTTACATACATAGAACCTCTGTAAGTTGACTGCCCAAGGGACTAGAACAAAGTAGTCAACATAACGAGGTGATCAACAGAAGGAATTAGGCCTCTTGTACTGATATGTACATGTGGTGTATGTCTGGTCAATGAAAATTAGGTCAGCTTAAGGAGGTGGTCAATGTAGGGAAGTGGTCGACTATGGAGCTTCTGCTATACTTTCTTTTCACTATGTGTATGTCTCTACCCTACCCCCACCTCTCTCCCAGAATTCATTTGGTGAATGAGAATTTAGGAAATTATTTGGGGCTATAAGAAATGAAAAACTAAAAATAATTATTATCATAGGAATTTTACCAAAGGGAATATAAAATGTGCACCAATACTATGAAACAAGTAATTAAAAGCAAAGTTGAACTATTTTGAAGAAAATCAACATAGAATTCTTGAATAAAGTACTTGAAAGTAAGTTCATGTGATTTTATTGTAACCTAATTATTTAATGTCCACATCTGGCAAGTAGGTGAGATTCTTTAAAGCGTATATACATATTTAATATATTTTATGAGTAGAAATCATAGGTGTAAAAATTATTAAATGCTCAACCAGAGCTAGTCCTCTGATTTCAAACAGCATAGTAATAGGTAATTTCTTAGGAAATGTTCCACTTATATTTTCTTATCATCATGAACATCTTTTATCTGTGGCTCAACTCTTCACTTAATTTCATGTTTATAAATTTTCCTCGCTCAGGGACAGATTTTGGCAGTTTGTATGTTATTGATAGCTAATGATGATGCAATTAGCATGCAGCAACTGTTGAGCTTCAGTAATATTAATGCTCTAAGGGTGATTCAATTTATTTTTAAGACACTAAGCAGCCAACTGTATTTAAAATTTTGCTAAACTATTTCTTTACCATGTTTAAAACAAAAATAATATTTTTAAAACTCAGAATTTGCTTGATGTGGAAATTTTACAGTATTGTCTATGAAATTATCCCCACTAAAGACATAAATTATTAGGCTTTAAATGTATGTTCTCATGAAGCCTTCCTTGTCTTACAGATGAGCTCGGTGAAAATGTTACGGCCTCGTCTCAATAGCATTCTTTTCAAGCTCACGTTTGAAGAACATGTAAACAACATCAAACCAAGCATCATAGCAGTAACTCTTGCCTGTGAAGAACTGAAGAAAAGCGAAAGCTTTAACAGACTTTTAGAGTTAGTTCTTTTGGTCGGGAACTACATGAACTCAGGCTCAAGAAATGCCCAATCTCTGGGTTTTAAGATCAACTTCCTTTGTAAGGTAAGGTGACATTTATAATGATAATTTATAAAATCTTCTTGTCTATGAGAGGGTTACTCTAAAAAGCTATAGTGGACAAAACTCACAATTGTACACATTAAAAGTATGAATTTTATGGTATATGCAATATATCTCAAATAGTTTTGAAAAGTCTTATTTCAGTAAAATCCAAAAGACTATGCAAATTAGTTTACAGTATTATACTTAACTCTTGCTGATTAAATTTCATTGGAGTTTTTAGACCAAAATGAAATTTGCTTTTATAAAATAGAGCAATATTATATTTCAGTCCCTTTATGCTTATTCTATATCTCTAAAACAGTGGTTCTCAACCTGTGGGTCACAACCCCTTTGGGGGTCTCCTGCATATCACATATTTACATTACAATTCATAACAGTAGCAAAATTACAGTTAATGAAGTAGCAACAAAAATAATTTTATGGTTGGAGGTCACCAGAACATGAAGAACTGTATTAAAGGGTCGCAGCATTAGGAAGGTTGAGAACCACTGCTCTAAAAAGTATTTGAAGAGCTAAATTCAATTAGGTAAATAGCCAGAAAGTCCTTTTTTTAATGTGCTTCACCTGTTCTACTCTAAACAAATAGTACTCTTCATTGTTGAATGGTGTTGTGTCACTAAGCTTGCACTGGCATCTAGTGCATTAACTGAAAGGTAAACAAAATCAAACAGTAATCATCCTATTGTTTTGAATGGGCCATTGCATAGTATTATTTTTGAGAGTTAATGTTTACAAAAAGTAAGCAAAGAAACAAGAGAAGCCCCACAGCAGTTGCATATGTCCATTTTTAGGCCAGGACAACCCACCTTATTCAAGAAAAAGATCTGTCTATTACAGGGAGAAACTTGAACAGATTCTGAGGTGAAGGTCTGTAAGAAAGCTAGAGATGAAAATAAATCTGAAAACAAGTGATCTATCTTTGACATCTCACCATTCTTTTGCTTTTTTGTTCTCTTATATCTGAATACACTGCAGAATTTGGATAGTTCTTGAGGTATATTGATAATAAGAATTCCTAATCTTGGAATGGAATTGGGTTTCTTTTTTATTCATGTATTAAATAGAAGCACACTGCATATACATGATTTGATCCTGGTACTTCTGCCCCAGATAAACATAAAAAATAACATTAATAGATAATGGGATGTATAATAGAATTGTATCTGTTCACTTTAATATATTTTTGAGGAGTATAAGGAAAGAGAGTGAGGAAAATAGGGAAGATTATCTGACAATGCTAGATTTGTAAGGGAAACATTTTGCTCCCTCTTCTTGTGATCTGTGGGGTTATTTGAAATTATTTCATAATGCCAGAAAGAATAAGACAATGCTATAATAAATTGGAATAAATCATTGCCAGATCCATAGGATAAAACTACTTAGTTAAGATTTTTCACTGTATTGTATATCATATATCCAATTAATAAAGTCATTTCTTACCAAGATGCTATTTGGTTAGCTTATATGCTATACGCACAGTGAGTGAGTCTAAAAATGCTCTTGCTTGATGCTTATAAAAAACATTATAAATTAAAAGAAAATATCATAGATATTTATACTAGATAAATATTTCACATTTAATTCACATAACAAAGGTATGTTAAACAAACCATCTTAATTTGAACAAATATGTACCTTTATTTGCAAGTGTCTTAATTTCACACTGTTCAAATTAATTACATGAACTGACTCTTTGAAGCAAGAATGAATAAGTCATTTGTAAACAGGAACAAAAGATTACATTAACCTCACAGAAGGATTTTACAGTTACATCTTATATTTTGGAAAGAGGCTTCTTCTTGTCATTTACCCGTCAAATAAAAGTTCTTCCACACAACGCTGATCTGACATCTATCACTAGAGGTATGCTCAAAGGATTCAGCACAAAGATTTTTGCCAACTTCAAATAAAATAAAAAATAATCTTGTGGGAAATACTATCATGTAGTAATAGGTGTTCCAAAAGAGAAAGAAATGAAGGTTTTAAAATCTTTCCCCTTCACTTTTCAGTAGGATTTTTATCTTCTGGGAAATACTTCCAGGAAAATTCTTGTCATGAAGAAAGAGAAATATCATATACATATTCCCATAATGTCTCGGATTAAAAGGATGTTCCTGGAATACAAAGGATTCTGAATAGCTAAAAATGTCTAAAATGACAGAAATTTACTGAAGTACATAGACGTAGTTAGCTTAGGTCTATAATCTGTCTGAAATGTTATTAACTAACTACTGATGTCTGATTAGGTAAAATTGCTGTTAAATTTCTGTTATATTATAAAAGATTACTTAGTTGATTTCTGTTAGCGATTTTTTTCCTTGAAGATAGCAGGGGAAATTTCCCTTGTAGAATGTTGATTCTTCCTTAAAAATGATACCATTTACTGACCTAAATTTTTCTGATGATAATTTCCTTTATCAGTGATTTAAAACTGTAATCCCATGCTTTTCACAAGAAGCTCTAGAGTATGTTAAAATATTCACCTAGTTAAAAAGGAGCCTTGTTATAAGCAGTTAAATTTATCAGATGTGTCGTGTAGTGAAGCGAGTTTATAGAAAACTCAGATGGTTGCAATTGGCTGCTATAATATTTGGGAAGAAAAGGAAAACAGGTTAACCAAAATGTCAGGATTAAAGGGTATCACTGCTGTAAGTACCACTCTCACCCCAAAATGCTTTGTTAATTTGCAGCAATGAATTATCACTTTGTTAGTTAGCAGACAAGTATGCTGAACTGTAATGAAAATCATTTCAACGAAGATGAGTTTCCAATGGTAATTTGGCTTGTGTTTGCCTGTTGGTTATTAAAAGTCTAACCAATGGAAGTGGTCTGCTTCAGGACATTTGTTATTTTTGTTTTTAAGTATGTAATAACATATATAAGCTGTGTAAAAAGAAAATATTTTAAAATACTAGGTTTTCCTATACACTGCAGTTTTGGGGTATATCAGATAAGGGTCTTTGTGTACAAGCAACAGGAAGTGACTGCCTGATTCAAGCAAAAAGTGGAATTTCTTGGAATGATATGAGGTAGTTCAGCCAGAAACTGAGGACAGGCTGAGGAACTTGGCTTTTTAAAGAACAGCAACAATGATGATTTTGAGAATTCATGTAGCAGGAATGAATGGGAAATCTGTTCAGGATGTCACCTTGGGAATGTATCAGCTTCAACCATTTGTCTCCTCTTTTTTGTGTTGATTCAAATTTCTATCAGAAAGAGACTGTTGAGCATAGTGTGGGTTATAAGAATAGCCCATATTCAAGTGAGGGCAAACAACTTTGTTTGATATTACAATGGAAGATTGATTATGCCTTAATGGATGCTGCTACCAAAGATAGGAATATAAAAGGCTAGGAACAGTTGAAGGGATAGCAAGCAGTCACAGAGACAAAACCAAACAGGTGGTCTGTATATCAGGGGGCATACAAACATAGAAGATGCACAGAAACCTTACAAAGCTTATGATACGGTGAGTAGCCAGGAAAAAAAAAAAAATATATATATATATATATACACACACACACAGAGTATTATGTAATATCCCTATGTACACTGTTAGTGACTACAAAAATTAATGGCCATTGAGATTAGCAGGCATTCAAAGAGGGAAATTAGGATTTCAGAAGAGGGAGGAATCTTTGGTGACTGGGTGATATTGGTAGATTGAAAGATAGGTAGGATTAGCGTATGTGAAGAGAAGAAGCTATAACCTTACAAGAGGGGAGAATGCTATGGGCTTGGAACCTACATGTTAGCTTCCACATTGCCAATTACTAGCCAGATTTTCATGATGAAGTCACTTATTCTCTCTGTTTCTCTTAGTTTCCTCATCTGTAAGTCAGGAAAAACAGTGACCCTTGTTTATTTTCATAGAGTCGTTTTCAGAGTCAGCTAAAATGTTCTATTTTAGAGTACTTTGAAAAATTATAATGTTCAATGAACAGTAATAGCTCTATTTAATGGTCGTACAGAGCTATAAATAATCGTGATATATTTGAGGGTAAATTAGTAAAACACAGCACCTATAATATTGGATTCATGTTCAAAACAAGTAATAACATTGGGAGGCAAGTTGTGAGAAGATGTTGAGTTATTTATACATTAGTTTGTATATCTTCCTTCCATAATTTTTAAAAATCATTTACAGCCCATTTAATAACTTTTGAAAGCAAAAAACTTTTTTGTGTATATACTGAGGACAAGCTATTTGTCCCCTGCTTTTCCTAGGTTAATGTATGACTATACAACTGCATGTGTTGTGACTTTCTAGTCATTCTCGCTGGACAGAGAGATACAACAAATTATGAGGCAGTAGGATGATACGCTTATTCAGAGATGTGAAATATATTGTAACCAGGCTCTAAAGAATACATGTGGGTTTACTCTGGTGAAAATTTCAGATATCTCAGTTTGCGTTATTAGGATTAACAGATAATATAACTGTGCTTTTTGTAACATACATCATATATGTAGAGTGTCTATAGTATATAAAGGCCTCATATTTTACAGGCCATCACATGGTATTAGTGACAGAGTATTATAGCTGTCACACCGCGTATACAAAGGAAAACATCCATCTCCCATGTAGAAGTTGTAAGAAGGGAAGTAAAATAGGTTCAGCTTCATTGTGAAATAGATCACTTACGAGAAAATATAATTTGTAAGGAAAAGTGACTTAAGTTTAAATCTTTAATCCAGCGAGAGTCTATCTTAGTTAATGGTGAAAGGTGTAGGTCCAGTTTCAGTCTTCTACAGGTCGCCAACCAGTTTGCCCACCACCCTTTGATAAATAGGGAATCTTTTCCCCACTCAATGTCTTTAATTGGCTTGTCAAAGATTAGATAATGGTAAGTAGCTGGGTTCAAAAGTACTTGTTTGATACCAAAAGTACTTGTGTCCGTCGTCATATTTTGAAATTGAAAAAAAAAAAAGAAAAGAAAAAAGGAACTAGCAGTACCAGGATTTGAATCCAAATCCTT